CTCTTTTAATTGTTTCCTATTTATCCTGTATACCAGCTTGCTTTGTCTATATTTGTATTTTGTCTCCCCCATTAGATTGGAGGCTCCTTGAGGGCAGGGGCTGTCTTTTGCCTCTGTTTGTGTCCTCTTGGTGTTTAGCACATTGCCCAGATGCATAGTAGGCGCTTAATAAATGCTGATTGTTCAAATCTGCCTCAGACACATAATAGCACTTACTAGCTGTGTGACCCTGGGTGAGTCACTTAACCCCATTGCCTAGCCAAAAAAAAAAAAAGAAAGAAAAGAAAAAGAATAAATGTTAATCGATTGATTGATTGCTAAGCCCTAGGGATACAAATAAGAAAAAGGAAAGACAGCCCTGCCCTCAAAAAGCTTACATCTAACAGGGAGGGGAATGGCAGAGGTATAGTGAATGATGGTGGTGGAGTCAAAACCAGCAGAGCCGCTGGTGACTGGTGAGGAGCTGGCTGGTGTAAGATCCCTCTAGAAAGGGAGGCTGTGGGAAGAGGCTTTTTCTCCTCAAGGTGTGAGTAGCAAAACTGAAGTAATCTCCATAATGATGACTTTATCTGATGATGATAACCCCCTCCCTCCCATGGTGGTTAAAGAGGGGTTTTTTTTGTTTGTTTTTTGGGTAGCAGGAATAGGAACAGCTAGTGATTGGGTAGAGCTCTGGACCTGGAATCAGAAAGACTTGGGTTCAAAACCCAAGTTTGGGGCAAGTTGCCTCTTCTCTGGGCCTCAGTTTCCTCATCTGTAAAATTGGGGATGGGAGGGTAGAGTCATTGCCCTCAGAGGTTCTTCCACTTGTAGCTCTTCCCGAGGAGCTGGGCCCATACCCTGGCCCCTTTCTGTGGTACACAGGCTCCGGTTCATCCCTGTTCCATCTCTATGGGTATATTTCTTTTTCCCTTTATAACTCCATATTTGTAGTCATGTGTGTACAGAATTTTAATTCTGATTTTACTTTGGGTCATTTCACAATGGGCATTTCTGCCCTATGTCTTCATGCTTCATATCTATCATTTTTACGGGCCTGTAATATTCCATTCCATAATGTGTTTAGCCATTCCCCAGTTGTTGCACCCATAGGTTGTTTCCATCTGTTTATTTTGCAATTACAATGAGAGTAACTAAGAAGATTTTTTTTATTTTTATAATGTTTTGGGGCTAAAGTCCTAGCAATGGATCCACTGGGTTGAAAGATGCAATCAGTTGTGTGAATCATTGCAGACTGCCACATTGCTATTCAAACTATTGACACTGCAATACCACCAACAATGTAGTAGAGTGCCCATTTCCCCACGGCACTACCAGCATTTGGATTTTATCCTTTTGAGAGGAAAAATTTTTTTTTCCATTTTAGTTGATGAAAGATTGCATCTTAAGTAAGAGGTCCTTTTTTCAAATTTCTTTGAAACTCCAATCAGGTTAGTATCCTTCAGAGTGGTAGAGTGGAAAGGCTGTTGGCTTCCATCCCTGGCCATTCCTACCTGTGTGACCTTGGGCAAGTCATCTTTCCTCTATGGGCCTCAGTTTCCTCATCTGTAAAATGAAAGTGCTGGGTTAGATGATCCTCAAGGCCTCTCCCAGTTCTACATCTTCTGATCCCACAGGGTCAAGGCATTTTTAAACACACTCGAGTTTCTTTAAGCAAAGTCTTAAAGTAGTTTCATCCATCATATGACTGGCAAAGCAATGGCACACTGGGAGTATCTCATTCTGAGGGTCCTGGGGAGGGGGGCTCGGTGGCTGGGGAAGAGGAGGTCAGGGGCTTGATCTCCGTGTCCTGCTTCTGAAGCCCTCCGTCTTCCTTCTCGTTGACCACCACTCCATGCCCACAGTGCCGAGCGGTACGATCCCTTGACGGGCACCTGGACATCCATCGCAGCCATGAGCACGCGGAGGAGATACGTCCGTGTGGCCACACTTGGTGGGTAGCCCAGAGCTCCCAACCTCAACACTTTCCCTTCAATTGACCCAAAATCCCAGGTGCCTTCTGGCATTCCCCCAGCTGTTTCAGCATTACCCATTTCTAAGTGACTCTGTTCCACAGATGGGAATCTGTATGCTGTGGGCGGCTATGACAGTTCCTCCCACCTGGCTACTGTGGAGAAATATGAACCCCAGGTAGAGCTCCCCCGCTCCCCAAGCCCCATTGCCCCCTCCCCTGTCTCTAGGCACCCATCCCCAGGTATGGTCCACTCCCTTTGTACCTCAATAGTGGAATCGCCCTCCCCAGTGTTAATCATTCTGTTCCTGCTCCAGCCTCCCCCTGACCTTAGAGATGAGGGGAGGGGGCCTGAGAGGGCTCTCCCTTCACTTGGAAAACTTAGTGCAAGTCCTTCCTATGACACCCACTTTTAAGGAGTGTGCCCCCCTCACCTTGGAGTTAACCCTTTCTATTCCTTCCTTTTCTCCCACCAGAAAAATTACGTGGGGGGGGGGAAGGTATCCTGAGTTGGGAGGATGGTGATGCCCCCGTGGCCACAAGCCCCCAGCCTCTCAATGTCCCCAAGGTGAACACCTGGACGCCAATTGCCACCATGCTGAGTAGGCGCAGCTCCGCGGGGGTGGCCGTGTTGGAGGGCGCCCTGTATGTGGCGGGTGGCAACGACGGCACCAGCTGCCTCAACTCTGTGGAGAGATACAGCCCCAAGGCCAATGCGTGGGAGAGCGTGGCACCCATGAACATCCGCAGGTATGTCCCGTGGCCACCTGGGGGCAGCCTGCAGCTCAGAGTTTCCCTTGACCCTGCCTCTGACCCACCCTTCCTGCTTCCTCAGGTCAGGGACCAGGTCCTGACTCCCCCCCACCCCAGACCCCTTCCTTCCTCCCAGAACCTTCATCAAGCAGCTAAGTGATTTCTGTCTCTGACCCGCTGAGTTTGTGCCTTAGTTTCTCCAAATGCAATGTCACTTTGAAAGCAGGAGGAAGCCTTGTTTCATCTTAACATATTCCACAACAAGAGCTTGTCTCTCCCCACATCCTCTCCATCTGCCCCCCGCGACACAATTTTGTGGCTCCCCCCAGGAGTACTCACGATCTGGTGGCCATGGATGGATGGCTGTATGCTGTTGGGGGTAATGACGGGAGCTCCAGCCTGAACTCCATTGAGAAGTATAACCCGCGCACCAATAAGTGGGTGGCGGCCTCCTGCATGTTCACGCGCCGGAGCAGTGTGGGGGTGGCTGTCCTCGAGCTGCTGAACTTCCCCCCACCCTCCTCGCCTACTCTCTCAGTGTCCTCTACCAGCCTCTGACCCTTGGGAAGACCAGGAGCAGGCCCCGAGCTCCAGACAGCTGGACTGTGATGGGGCCCTGGGCTGGAGGTGTGGAGACCCCAGAAGAGACTGCTGCCCCCATCCCCAGGGCATGGAGGGCTAGGGCAGGGATGGCCGTCATCCCCATTGGCCTCTTGCAGATGCCTTAATGCTCCCCCCGTCCCAGGAAGGGAGGAGGAGGGGGCAACTCCTGCCATGGAGGTCTCTGAGCCACAGAGACCCAGGGCCCCGGCTCTCCCCTCCCTCCCCGCCCTGCTCCCAAGGGCTGAGGCCAGGGGTCTCAGTCTCCTGCCCAGCACATGGGCCCCAGGCCCCGGAGCACTGTCTGCGTCTGCCTATGTTTGTCTATTTATGTATTTATTATTATTTATGAAACGTCCCACGGCCACCTCCCACCCCTTTTATATTCTTGATCCCTCTGGGGCATTTGTGAAAGTCGAGTTTCCTTTGGGAACCAAGCCCTAAGCCTAGGGTCCCCCCTCGATGAATTCCAAGGACAGATGGAGCCCAATCAGGACAGGTGCAGAGAGGCAGGTGCTGAAGGAGACCCAGAAACCCACTTGACTTGACAGAGATGCTGAAGGAAGCTGGGGACACTGAAGGAAGGAAGGACGGTCAAACCACTGACAGAAAGACTGAGATGCTGACGGTAAGACAGACCTGACCGAGACTGGAGGAAAGCTCTGCAGAAACCCTGGAGGGCAGACACACTGGTGGAGAGGGAGGTGCTGTTGGGAGACAGAGCTGGGGGGACCAGGGAGGCTCCCCTGGAGAATGGTCCTGGCGCGGGGGCTGTGCGGGTGAACTGGGACGATTCATTCCTCTGTCTTGTTTCTGTGAAGAGTTGTCTGTTTCCTTGAATTATGCACTGAGCTGGACACACGCACACAGATACCCGTGCATATACAGGCATACACATGTGGACATACCCACCAACATACATGCCTTCATGCACATCAGCACACAGCAATATGAACCTACCTGACCAATAAAAGTTCTTGTACACAGCCCAAGGCTGGCCTCTTCCTCATTTCTCCAGGGGGATCCTTGGGCTCTGTCCTGCTTTGTCAAGGCTCTGTGTGCCTCTGTTTCCCAAGTATGGAATGTGGACAGGGGTGGGGAAGACATGTGTCTGCCAGGGTTGGGGGGGGGAGCAATAGCTGGGAGATCTGACGTGGGGGAGGGGACCTTCAGCCTAGACCCCCCCCCCACCTCCCCAGTCATCCATGACTCAGAGGCTAAGGAATCTGAGGTGGAAACAGGAAGTGGGGGGGTTAGGGGAGGGCTGGGTTTAGGCAGGCTTTATCTCTAGCCCAGCCCTACCTCCCCCCTCCCCAGCCTCAATGCCAGGCTGGAAAGTGAGCTCGATGCACGCCCGCAGCAGCACCTTCTGGGGGGAGTCATGTGGCCCCCCCCAGAAGCACTTGGAAGAAAAGGTGGCCTGTCCTCAAGGGTATAAAAAGGAGAAGCCAGCTTCTGTGGCTGCTGATGTCCCCCTCCCAAGTGGAAGGCAGAGAAAGGGATGCTCTGACCCCCCCATCCCAGGTCCTGATGGCCCCATGGCCAGCCGTCTCCTGCCTCTGGCCCTAAGAGGGTCTGGGACACCCCAAGTAGCCTTGACAGAAAGCCAGACTGAGGGCTGAGGTGACCTCCGACCTCAGCTGTTCCCTGCTTCCATGGATACCTCTCCCCGGAAGCCTGCCTGGGAGTCTGAATCCCGGGAAGGAGGGGGCGGGGCCCCAAGGTCACGCCCACTGTTGGAAATGCAGCCACTCTGACCTAGCCTGGGCTCAGCCAGGCTCAGCTGGCTTCTGCTCCAGCTCCAACAAGCGGCCCGGCCAGCTGCACCCAAGGGTGCCGGGTAGAATCTCCCTGGGAACCTCAGTCCCTCACGGGACCCTAACACCCCTCCCCCAACTCTTCTCCAACCCCCTTCGCCATGGGCAATGCCAACTGTGTCCCCCAGGCTCCTCGTTTCCGAGCCTCCTTCTCCAGGAAATCCTCGCTGAAAGGAAAAAAGTAAGGCTGGGAGTCCTGGCAGGGGTTGGGGTCACCATCACAATCCCGGTCCCGTCCCAGTCTCGGTCGGGTCAGGCTGCTGTTGGGAGCTGGGAGGACTCGGTTTGGATCAGGGCAGGGTTGGGCTGTGGTTAGGCTAGGGGCTTAGGATTCAGGATGAGGCTAAGGGGCTGGGGCTTCTAGGTACTTGGGGCACAGGTTGCGGGCTCTCCTGCCTGTATGAAGGGGGAATCCCTCCTCTGCCTAGGCTAGGCTGAGCAACCTTGAATCCCTGGTTCCCACAAGGAGGATGGGGGTGGGGAGAGGAGGGCTAGGACCAGGGTGACTGTCTCCCTGTCTATCCCCGGACGCTGTCTTGGGGTCCCCCTGTCCAACCCGGGCTTGCTTCCCTCCTTCCTGCCTGGCTGCACCCACAATCATCTTCCAGCCAGGCTAGGGGCTCCCTCATTGCCTGGCTGCCCAGCTCCAGAGGTTAGGGGTTCAGGGCCGGGGCCGGGGGCGGGGTAGCGCAGAAGGGAAGGAAGCCATTCTTTGAGTCTCTTCTGCTCTTCTCCCCACAGGGAGGACAGCATAAGGCGTCGAGGGGGACTGTTTGGAAGCGAGAGCAGCCAAGATGGGGATACGAAGGCCACCGACAAGATTCTTTATTACATCCCGGGGACGGTGAGAGCCGGCTGGGAGGGAGGTCAGAAACGTGTGTGTGTGTGTGTGTCCGTCTGTCTGGAGTGCGCGCCCGGCGATTTCCTGGGTCACGGCTGCCCCATCTCTCCGCTCCCTCCACCCCACCACCCCACCCCAGCCAGGCCAGATTCGCCAGCGATCCGGAGGAGAAGCTTGGGCCCCACCCTCGGGCACCTCACCTCCTGGCTGTCCCGAAAGTCTCCGCAGACAGCGAAACTGGCGAGAGAGTCAGGGACTGAGTCAGTGCGGGGAGTGAGGAGGAGCGGTGTGGGGGAGAGGGAGAAAGGGGAGGGACCTCCGTACCAACCAAGGAGTCCAAGGAAACTCCTCCAGGAAGGCTTCCTGGCTTCCTCCCCCACCCGAAACTGCAGGGACACCCCCTGCACCATCCGGTGTCTATGTGAGCTTTCACGGGAGTCTGATTGACTTGGAGAGGCGAGTGGGAGGCGGGAAGCTGAGTTCTAAGGGTACAGGACAGGAGAGGCTTTCAGCCTCAGGTTCAGGCTTCGGCCCCCAGGGTCAGCCAGGATGAGAACTAGGGAGCAATCCCTGAGAAAGCTTCATCCACAGGACTGCACTGGATCTTAAAGGCCAAGGAGGGTGACTTGTCCACTAAGTGGCTGGGAGATTTGAACCAGGGTCCCCTGACTCCAAACTCATTGTTCTTGTGGTCCTGAGCCTCAGTTTCCTCATCTGCTCAATAAGAGGGTTGGGCTAGCTGGTTCTGAGGCCTTCCATCTGTAAATCTGGAATCCTGAGGACACTAATGGAGGTGGGAGGAGGCTATTGATTATCCAGTGAAAGCAGGAGAGCTCAAAGTCCATTAAATGGCTCCTTTGAACGGCTCCTTTGAACACCCAAGATGCCAAGATAAGTGAGGCCCTTAGACACCATCTGCTGCCCGGGCCATTCCAGGGAATGGGGAAGGGCAGACAGACACAAGGTCCGGCTTCCCTGGCCCTCCCACCCTTGGGAGCCAACCCCAGTCCTCTCCCGTTGGACAGAGAAGACTTGGTCCCAAAGATGGGTCCAGGGCTAGGACCCAGGTGTCCTGCCTCCCGGTCTCTGGGCTTTCCTCTACACAGCACCTACTCCTTCTTTGGGAACCTGGGAAGGGGGAAAGGAGGGGAACCAATAAATCCATGCCCCTCCCCTTTTGGGCAGCCTTCCCTTTTCCTAAGGATTCACCAAGGACTCCGTAAGTGGGCATCCTCAAAGCTGATCCCCTCCTGCTGCAGGTGAAGTCCATTGGCTGGTAAATCCAGAGGACATTTTCCTGCCTCATGCAGGACCCTGCCCAGTTCTGTCTGTGGGCCTGGAGACTACCTGTGTTCCAGGTGCTCAGTGGTATCTGCGGGGACCTTAGACCAACTCTGTCGGTCAGAAAGCTACTTGTGGGCCAAGGCCCCAGTCACCCCCTCTCCCTTCTGTATTATGACAAGGAAGGGACTGATTCTTTGTTTGGGACCATCCGGGGTCCTGGACCAGGAGTTCCTGCTTCTTCTCTCTCCCAGCCCCACCCCTACACGCACGCACGCAAACACACACACACACACACACACACACGTTAAACTGTACAAGGAGGGAAGTAGGAATGAGTGTACCACACCTCCCCCAGAGGGCCCCTCAGAAACCAGGCACCTTCTACCCTAGAAACACTTGAGTGGGGAGCAGGGCGAGCAACACTCTGAGTCTCTTGGTTCAGCAACCTGGCTGAGTGGCCAACGAAATCTCAGGCCACCCCCATCCTTTCTATTAATAGCCCCATGTCACCAGATAGTCACTGAATCAGGGGGTCCTGACCCTGCAGAAACAGAAGGGGGCATTACTAGGCATTAAGGTCGCCCTCTGATTGGAAGCCAGAACTCCTGGGTCCAGCCCCCTGACACATCTCCATCTGCATCGACTGTGGGGGTGGGGGAGAGGACCACTTTAGGGGCAGAACTGGATTGGGAGGGCCCAAGTGACCCTGCAACTGCCAGCTGTGAGAAGTGAATGTGGCACTGGCCTGAGAAATGACTAAGCTTTGGTGCATTCTCCAACAACCTTCCCTAGTTTTTCTCCTCCCTGTGGAAGGAGTGGAAGGCCAGCTTGGTGGCTACATTCCTGAAGTCCATTTCTGCATCTGGGTGCCATGGCCACATTCCATTTAAGCATCCAGGGTCCATAGGCAGCTTGCATGGATGAGTCTGTGGCCTACTTTTATGCAGGTCGCCAGGGCCCTGAGCCAATTCCCACGGGGAGTGGGAGGCCCCACCCAAGGGTGGGAGGGCTGGGGAAGCCAGCCCTTGTGTCTGTCTGCCCTTCCACATTCCCTGGGATTGCCCAAGCAAAGGGGTGGCCCTGGCAGCAGGCAAAGCATTGGGCCCAAAGCCAGTGCCCTGGGTTGTAACATGCCTCATTGGCTACCTCACCCAATGCGTGGAGCTGATTATGAGAGAGCCCTGGACCCCCATGTCCCACACATCAGCCACAGGCCACTTTCCCAGGGTTTACCTTTTCCCAGGCCCGATTCCTATGTATGGCTGTGTCTATGGGTGTGTCTGTATGATTACATATATGCGTGTCTATGTATGGCTTTCATTTATAGATTTGTGTCTAGACCTCTGAATTTTCATAGGCTCACAGTTCTGGAGCTAGAAGCGACCGAAGGGACCACGTTCTAGTCCATTCCCCTCATTTTTACAGATGAGGAAATTGAGGTCCACTTCTAGAGGGGAAGTGACTTACCCAAGGTCACCTAGGAAGTAAATGGCAGAGGCAGAATTCTGTGTGAATCTATCTGTGTGATTCTCTATGTTTGTCTGTGGGTGGGTGTATCTGTGAGTAGGTCTGTGGATATGTAGCATATTATAATGTAGAAGGAGTCTGGGTTTGGAGTCAGGGTTAAAATGTGGCTTCTACTCCCTCTGGGACCTTATGCATGTTATATCCCCTTACCGAGCCTCAGTGTCCCCATCTGAAAAAAAATGAGTCTATTGGATGGGACAGTTTCTAAGATTCCTTCAAACTTTGATCTCGTGGTCTGTAACTGGCTGTGTCTGAATATTATAGAAATCTATAGCTGTCTTTCTTTGTATCTGCCCATGTGTCTAGGTGAGCAAATGAGGTAATATTTGTAAAGAGGTTAGCCCAATGCCTTGCACACAGTAGGCACTCAATCAATGCTGATTCCTCCCCTCCCCCACCTTGCCCTCCTCCCATGTAGATATGTGATTGTGATCGTGTGTGCCTGTGTTTTCGTGGGGTAGAGTGGGGTGGGGGGAGCCTCTGGGTCCCAGCCTTGGACCTTTAGGGGACCCCTTCACTCTGAGTGTGCCCCTAACCATGCTGGGCACATTTCTTTGTCCTGCTTTGTATTGGCTATGTGCACAAAACTAATTCCATAGGCTGGTCTCCTTATACCTGTTTGCGGAGGAGGGGTCCTCTTTTGTGGCCACTTCCCCCCTGGCCTAAGCTCCCAGGCCACACTCTCCTGCAGGATATTCCGGGCCCAGAAAGTCACAAGGAAAATGTAGACCAACCCTTCCTCAGTGTGTTCAAGAAGGGCCGGCAGAAAATGCCCGTGAGGAACCTCGGGAAGATTGTCCATTATGCCAAGGTCAAGTTCAAGTTCCAGCACTGCCCGGTGAGTCCCAGCTGGAGGTCAGGTTTGGGCCCTTGAGGAGGGGTGTCATGGGGGGAGTCCCAGGCTTAGGTGCAGGGAAATCCATCCCCTGGTGGTGATAGCCTCCACTCCCAAGAGGGCCATGGAGAAGAAGAGGGCTGCCAGATGACCTTCTGAGCCTTGGAAGCCAAAGCCTCAGGTTCATGGCCAGGCAGAGAAGAGGATGCAGTAGAGCTCTTACCAGAGCCCAGGTTAAGATTCCACATCCAGTGAGTGGGTTAGGAAAGACATTCTTAGCCCTCCACCCCATGACAGCCTCTGAGCCGTCTCAGTTCCCTGGACAAACCGAGCCTTCCCCCTTCCCCGCAGGACATCAGTGATTGTTACCTGGAGCTGTTTCCCTCCTGTCTGTACTTCCAGGCTCATGGCTCCAGTGGCCTCACCTACCAGGTGAGTCTGGGTGGGAGACGCCACCATCTGACCTGGGACCTCTCCCCCTAAGAGCCAGCTCGGCATCTCAGGGCTCAGGGCAAAAGGGGCCCATGAGGCAGGGTCCCCTCAGCCCTAACTGCTGGGCGAGGCCTGCAACTCTGGGCACCGTGCCTTTTCCACAGGGGTGGGTCCTCCACAAAGTAAGGGTAAGGGCACCAGACATTCAGGGACCCCCAGAAGCCATCTGGCACATCCCCTCTCATTTTACAGAAAGGAAACTGAGTCCCAGGGAGGTTAAAAGGGTGGTAGAATTTGAAGTGATGTCTTCAGACTCCAGCCAGAGCCAGGGCTAATTCCATTGCCTCCCAAGTCGACCAGCAATTTATGAAGCACCAATCATGTGGGAGGCTCTGTGCCTCTTGATACTGTTCAGTCGTTTTCAGTCATGTCCGATTCTCTGTGAGCCCAGAGGGGGTTTTCCTGGCAAACATACTAGAGTGGTTTGCTCATTTTACAGATGAGGAAACTGAGGCAGACAGGGTGAAGTGGCTTGCCCAGGGTCACACAGCTAGGAAGTGTCTGTGGCTGGATTTGAACTCAAGCCTTCCTGACTCCAGGCCCAGCTCTCTTTGCACTACAGCACCACCTAGCTGCCCCTTAAAGAGCCTACATTCTAGCCTTTTAGCCCCTACCCATAGGAGGTGCAGAATGCCTCAATTCCCCACCTTCAGCACCTGCTGGGACTGCCCCTGTTCCTGTCCAAGCTGCCCCTGACATACAGATCTCTCAGGGGTAACTTTACAACATCCCCGGCTGACTGTGACTCCAAGGGAACAGAGCCTTGCTTAGCCTTCATTTATCTTTGTTTCACCCACAAAGCTATGTTTAGTGGAACTGAATTGGCCCTGTACTTGGTTACACTGATTGTTAATTATATGTAGGATATAAATAGGGAAGAAGAGGATTTTCTCTGGCCCCAGCCCCATCGTCCCTAAGGCTGCCAAGCCTTTCTCTCTCCCTGTCCCTCCTGTGTTCCTAGCCTGCCCCTCAGGATAGCCCTGCAGGAAGGAGGGGGAGGGTCAGGCTCCATTCCTCCGTTCCCTCCCTTGGGCACCAGGACCCTTTGTTCCTCCCTCCTAATCCAATCTGGACTCCTACAGGGGCTGCTGCCACTCACTTTGGTGAGCATCTCTAGACTAGAGATAGAAGGAGAACACGCCTTCCAGATCACAGGTAAGGGAGGCCATGCCTTTGAAATTACAGCAGCTGTTTGGAGGATATTAATCTAAAACCTCTGTAGTGACCACCATGCCATCTCATCATTCATCCACCATCTTCCTCTTGGTCTAGGCCTGTCCTTCTGGACCACGAAGAGAGCTTAGTGTTACCCAAGGGGCAGGGCATTGATCCAGAGCTGAACTAGGACACCCCTGGGGGTGGGGGGTGGGACACCACTGGCAAATGGCTGTGGTCTTGACTACAGATATTGATTGGGATGCTGACTGGGTTCACTGATACCTGGCATACCATTAATACCATTAATACCAGGGTATTAAATGGACACACTAGTTGGACCATTCTCTGTGAGAATCTGACCAGGGAAGTGACCTAGGGTTTGAAGAGGAACACTGACCAGGGTGTAACTGATAAGGGAGATGGCCAGGGTGTTGAATGAGGGCGCTTCACTAGGATGTACCGATGGGAGGGTATGTAGATAGGACGCTGACCTAGGTGCTGATGGGATGTTCTGACCAAAGTATTTAATAGAGTCGTGGGATATCCTGGGATACTGATTAGGCACTGAATAGATATAGGCTAGGGTGGAGGGTGGGGGTGCTGGCCATAGTGCTGACCACAGTTACTGACTCCAAATGGGGGTGCAGACGAAGACACTGGCTTAAGTGCTGCCATCCCATTCCCTGGTCCGCAGTGACCAAGGGAGCTGACCTGAGTACTGGGTAAGGAGACTGATGAAGCCTGTCCAGTTTACCAGATGACAATTGGGACTACTCATTGAACCATTGTGACTAGAGGTGCTAGCCAGGGTCCTGACCTACAGGAAGATCATTTAAAGCCATCTTGGTTCCCCCAGGGAAGCTCAGACTAGTTGAGGCTGCCTGTGGAACTACCCAGGAGCATACCCTCTGTACCTTCTTCCGGGCCCTGAGGCTGGTGATTGATGCTACCTTTTCCTGGCAGGCAGGAAATGAGCAGCTGGGTGGGGCAGGTCTGAGAACAGGATGAGGGTTGGGCAGCTGGTTGAGGGAAGAAAAGGACAGGAGGAAGCTGGTGGGCCAGGGAAGGGGATATGGGGCTGTGGGGAGGTTGGCTGACCTGAGGCTGACCAGTGACTTCCACCTCAATCCCTGCTCTTCTCATGTCCCAAGGCCCCCTGCCGTCTCCTCTTCTGGTATTCTGTCCCAGCAAGTCTGAGCTCCGGCGCTGGCTTTATCACCTGGAGAAGCAGATGGACCTCGTAAGGGGACCCCAGTGCCCATCTCTCCAGTTCCAGGTGAGTGCCCAATGTCAGCATTTCTGCCCTGCCCCCCACCAGCCTGGGCTGAGAAGAGGCATGACTTCTGGGAATAGGATGGTGATATGCTTATACTGTACTCTGCCCCCATCTGACTTTATCTGGAGTACTGTGTACATTTCCAGGTGTCATAGATTAAGCTGGGGCATGTCCAGAGGAGATGGACCAGGCTGCAGAGGGTCTGTAGTCTGAGTCATAGGAGGATAAGTTGAAGAAGCTGGCCGCGTTTAGCCAAAAGAAGAGAAAATTCAGTGAGTCATGACAGCTGTGTTGAGGTGAAGGGCTGTTAGGTCTCCTGGGACCAGAGGGTTGAGTCAGGAGCAACAGGTGGAAATTGTAAAGAGGTAATCCTAGGCTTGATGTCAGGAAAAACTTCCTGGCCATGAAAGCTAGGTACCATGGGCTACCTATCTAGAGAAGAAGCGAGATCGCTGTTCTTGGAGGTCTCCAAGCAAAGTCTGGATAAGTAATTTTGGGGTGTATAATAGTGAGGATTCCTTGGGTGCATGAGACGTGTTGGAGGGCCAGAGAGGTCCCTTCCCACTCTCCATTTCTGTGCTTGGTTGGTGGCTTCAGTCCTGAGCCCATAACTGGCTCTTCCCATCTCTGTCCCTAAGGGTCCTCTAGGGGAGAACCATCTCTGCCCTCTCCCATGGGCCCTCCAGCACTACCCAGTTCATCACTGGGAAGGAACCAGTCGAGAATCTCTGGGAGATGTGGTCTGCGCCTCCCGAGTGAAGATGCAGCATCTGCCCTCCCAGGTGGGAATGAGGACAGGTGGGGGGGTGGGAGTGGCAAGGAAGGAGGCGGGAGAGGGGCAGAGGAGAGTACGTTTGGGTGGGATGGGAAGGGCAGGAGGCAGGAGGGTGCAGCTCAGAGGGGGAGAGGGGAGGACGCTGCCCCCCACCCACCCATGTACTTATGACAAAGCTCTGAGCTGAGGTCATCCATGACCCCCAAATCACTATCCAACCTTCTCTGACCTCTTAGGAGCAGCATGACCGGATTCTCATCCTCTACCCATCTACACTGGTCATCCTGTCAGAGGATTCTGATGGACTGAACTTCAAGGTAGCCCTAACTGCCACCCCACCCCCTCTGAGCCTTGACCGACCGTAATGTTCAGATGCCCCTGGACATTACCTCTCCTGTGCCCCTTAAAGTGATACTTAAGTAACATTTCTGTGAGCTTCCCTACAACCCAGTGAGGTAGGACTACTGCTATTATCCCCATTTTTCAGGTAAGGCAACTGAGTCTCCACAAGGTTTACCTACTGTCTCCATCTTTCCAGACTATGCCCCCATCTGGGTCTCCTGCCTGTCCCACTCCCCTACCCTGCAGAATCAGGTTGGTGGGTGGGGCTGGAGGGAGTAATTCAAATTAAAAACCAGAATTTCAAGATTGGTCTAGGTAAGGGAGGTTCCTGCCAGGCCTCTCGTTTGTCTGCCTTCCCTGGGCCCAGGCTTGTGTGGAGGGGGCCTCTGCTCCCCTGGAGTCCCTGGGGGCCAGATATAAGCTGACCCTGAACTATGAGGGGGTGGTCCTGTACCACCTCCCTCTCCCAGGTGGGGTCACCTGTTTTCTGGTGATTCACTTCCCTCCCTCCCTTCCTCTCTCCCTCCCTTCCTCCCAATGTCAAGGAAGACAACAAAGAAAGGATTAGCCCACAGCAGGAAGGATTAGTTTAGATATTCCTGAAGGACTTCCTGTCCAGGAGATGTGTAAGACAAGTGGCTAGGGCCAGAGAAAAGGTGAGGTCAAAGGATTCTTCTCTGTTGGGTATTCACAGGCAGGGAAGACCTTCCCAGAGACAAGGGATACATTGACCCTCACGGATGCTTTAATACCACTGGCCTTCATGGCTGGGTCAGTGACCAGACTGTGTATGGAGACTGTCTCCAGAGCTGAACTGGCTTCCCATAAAATGATTCAGAAAACCCTGATAAATGAGCATTTACATGATGCATTAAGGTTTGCAAATCGCTTCTTCACAAATGTTATCTCAGGGTATCCTCACAGAAACCCTAGGAGAGAGATGTTATTACTCTCCCCATTTTACAGATGGAGGCACTGAGGCAGCCAGAGGCTATAGGTGACTTGTCCCAGGGACACAAAGCCTCACCTAATAATAATGGCTAGCATTTGTATAGTACTCTGGTTTGCAAAGCCCATTATAAATGTTGGGTCCTTAGAACAACCCTTTTGAAGTAGACCAAATGAGGAAACTGAGGAAGCCCAAGTGAGGTTAACTGACATGCTCAGTAGGATTATATGGCTAGTAAGTGCTGATTTGAATTCATCTTTCTGACTCCCAAGTCCAGAGCTGATAATGACCAGAAGTCATTATAACATATTATAATAATGACCATTGACCACAAGTGACTTTTAGAATGAGTCAGAGTGAAGAAATCTTCAGACCTGCCTCTCCCCAGTCAAAATCAGAAAAATGGGGTAAGGGTTGGGAGAAGATAGGGAAATAGGAATCCCCCTAGGTCCCCCTTGTCTCCTGCCCATTAGCCCTGACAATGCCCCTTGTCTTCCCTAAGGGGGAGCTTCCACTCAACGCCATCCAGCTCAACTTTGAGGAGAGTGAGAAACAGATCCGGTCTTTCCTGATAGAGGGTTAGTGAACTGAAGCCTCCCTGAACCCTGGGTGGGACTGAGGGCCCAGAGACCCTCAGCCCCTTTCATCCTTTCAACCTGATCCTTCCCAATGCAATGCCAGCTGCTGCCTCTGACCCCATGCCCACCCCTGTCCTCTGGTACCATGGCTATAATGAGTGAAGACTGAGTCACTTTTCCTCTCCCATTAAGCAAAAGGGGGTGGGGTGGGGGGAGGCAGGCTGGGGCGGGTGGGTGACATTCTTGGTTTGGGTGGACCTAGCCTCTTTGGCTGCTACCTGCCCCCGTGTCTCATGTGTTTGCCCTGGATTTAGGGGCAAATTTAGCTCTCCTCTTTTTTACCTTATTTTTAAAGTTTTTATCCTGAAGAAATAAAATAAGAATTTCCATAACAGAGTAGAATACAAACAAAAAGACGATTGCACCTGAAACTGCAAATGTATAATATACAGTTTGTACACAGTTATGTACAATTCCTTTTAAATATATAATGAAGCTATCATGGACTTTTTTTCCCCTTTTTTTCTCCCCCTCCCTCATCCTAGAGATGGCCACCATTAGATAAAAATATGTATAATAATATATAAAAATAATATAATATATAGTATAATATAATAATATATAAAAATAAAATAACAAAAATATATATGTAAAGCCTTTCTATACGTATTTCTATTTATCAGTTCTTTCTCTAGATGCAGATAACATCTACCTTCATAGGTCCTTTGTAGTTAATTTGGTTATTTATAATAGTCAAAATGACTTTGTCACTCGAAGTTATTCTTAAAACAATATTGTTCTTACTGTATACAACATTCTCTTAGTTCTGCTCTTTTCGGAGCTCCCCTCTTAAAAGGCAGTGGGATCAGTAAGTCAGAGGTCATTCCTGGGATCACCCTTCCAAGGTAGGGTTGGCTCAGGGGCTCAGAGATCACTCTTGGGGCATCTGCTCCCCTACCCCACCCTAACATTGAGGGTCTTCTTCACCTAAGCAAATTGGGTCCTGGGACCACGGAAGTATTTAGGGTTCTGCGGAGGGCCAGTCAGTGAATAATCCTCAGTATGAAGGGACCCCAACCCAAGGGAGGGAACAGCAGTAGGGAGCCCAGAAGGAGCCCATGTTGTGTATCCCACCCCACAGGCCACCTCATCAATACCATCCGAGTGCTTTGTGCCAGCTATGAGGACTACCAAGATTGGCTGCTTTGTTTTCGGGCTATCCACCTCAGAAGAGGGGGCTCCTCTACCCGCTCAGGCTCTGAGAGCTTCCAGGGGCCACGGCCACCCCTTCCCACACAGGTGAGGGGGAAAGAGCAGCTCAGGCATCCTGGGGCTAGGAAGCTCAGAAGTTCTCGACTCAATGTGAGCTCCTTGAAGGCAAAACCAATTTTGGTCTTGTCTTTGTATTCTCAATGTCCAACACTATCTTCCAGCTTTAGCCAGAAGTGGTTAGTGGTCAGGGAGGGCAGCAGAGATCCGCAGGCCCTAGCTGAGGGAGTTTGGGGTGTGTGGGAGTATGGGGGTAACATTCCTTCCTCTCTGGGACCAGCCTAACTCCACACTACTTGGCTCAGTTCTCAGTCAGCGGGCGAGCATCCCTTACCTCTGATGGACGGACCAACTCCTGGGCATCCACAGGGGCCCCGTCCACTTCCTCCCACACCAGCAGCTCCCTCCCTGACCGCCCCGTGCTGCCTGACAGCTGCCCTGTGGGAGCTGACAGCACCCCCCAGAGGGACCATGTGAGTGACACAGGCCAGGGCAGGATCTAATAGGTCAGACAGACTTCAGTGGCTGCTTGGATTCTGGGAAGGGGGGAGGGCAGCTTGGGGGGTTCGGGGTTCAAGTGGAAGGGTCTAGTTGGACACCTAGAAGAAGAGTAAGAGCTGGGGCTGCCCACATGCCGCTAAACAAATTCTCTGCCCCCTTGTCCTTTCTGACCCCACCTGCCATATGATCCAGCCAGGGACTGGGGGTCTGGCAGGTCCTTGTTTGTGAGCCCCCAGGGGTTGGGGCCACCCATCCCTAGTGTGGTTTGGAGGCCACCCAGCACTGTCCCTCTCTGTCTGTCCAGGGCCAGGCCAACCCCAACATCTCCAGCCTGGGAAGGCATCGGGCAGAACTGAGACGCAGAAGCAGCAGCCGCTCCTCCAAGGGAAAAGGCACAGGGCAGCTGAAAGGAGAGGAGCCAGCACTCAGGGCTCCCCTGCATCTGGACCTGGGCCTCACCAACGTAGGGGCCTCCCCCAGCCCCCAGCCCCAGCCCTGTCTCTGTATTCTAATTGGTCCCTGTGTCTGTCCTTCACTCTCTGTCTCCCTGGGTCTCTCTCTCCTAGTCCCCAAAGAACACCTGGCCCACATGTGTGGTCCTAGCTAGCAAGGGGGGTTCAGATAGCTGCCATGTCACCAGGTTTCCCAGCCCAAAGCAGGTGGCCGTCACTCCTAATGAAAGGGACCCAAGTGAGCCATCACCAAGCACGGTCACCCTGTTCCCTCCGCCCCCGGCTTCTTCTGCAGCTAAACCGGAGGAGTCTAGAGGTCCTCGAGGGAGCAGCAGCTGACACCCCAGAGAAACCCCAGTCCCCACTGTATGCTGACCCCTATACCCCGACCTCTACCACCCACAACAAGATCACAGACGTCAGTGACCTGGATGAGGTCGGTCCTCCAGTGGAATTGGGGAGGGTTCTGGCTAAACCTGGTCTGATTAATATCCAAAGCCTGAAGTCTGCCTGGAGCCAGCTCTGGTCAGTGCCTGAACCTCAAGGTTTTGGCCCAGGCTGGCTCTGGGGAGCCTTAAGGGAGATATCCAGGGATACAGTGGTGTCCCTGGCTCCGAGCCCATCAGGATCTGATGGAGACTCTGTTGGTTTCCCTCACAGTTCCTGGTGGCAGCTAAGAGTTGTGTAGGCCAGGAGCCACCGAGCACCTTCCCCACCATCCCCGTCTCCGTCCCTGTCCCTGTCCCATCCCCCAGCTTACACCCCCTTCAGAAAAAGCCAGCCCCTCAGCACCGGGAATCTCAGAGACATCGAGGCTCCTTCAAAGTCCGGGGAGCTGGTCCTCTAGAGCCTTCCCGAACCCGTCAGGTGAGTGGGGTGACTAGGGAGGGGCGCTGGTCCTGACCTGGAACCACAGGCTGAGAGCGATGTCTAAAGCTGGGGATGGGGGTGGAGGGAAGAGTGTGCCCAGAGGAAGAGACAGAGATGGGGAGAGAGAGATAGACAGAGACAGATACAGATAGAGACAGAGAGAGAGAGATCCAAATGAAGAGAGACAGGCAGGTCTGTTCCTCCTTTCATAGGATTGTAGAGCTAGGAAGGACCATAGGACATGGAATGCCAGAGCTAGAAGGAACCTTAGAACAGAGACTCTCAGAACTGGGAGAGCCCTTTGGATATGGGATATTAGAACACAGAGCAGAGAATGTCAGAACTGAAGGGAAGTTTCTCATTTCAGTATACACACACACTCTCACACACACACACACACACACACACACACACACACACACACACACACACTGATGAGGCCCAGAGATGATTTTTCCCAAGGTCATACAAGTAATAATAATAGCTAGAATGTATTAAGCACCTACTATGTGCCAGGCATTTTGATTAAGCCTTTTTGTAAGTATTATCTCATTTTATCCTCACAGTAACTTTGGGATACCTCCCAGGTACCCTTATTATCCCCATTGTACAGATAAGCAAACTGAGGCAAACAGGTTAAATGACTTGCCGAGGGTCACATCAGCAGTAAGAGTCTGGGGCTGGATTTAAACTTGAGCCTTCCTGACTCCCGGCCCAGCACCCTATGCACTAGGTAATAAGTAGCAGAGGTGAGATTCAAATCCAAATCTTCTGGCTTCAGATAGAGGAGCATCTCCACCCCCATGCCTCAGTTTCCTGGTTTGTCTCCCCAGGTCCAGGTCACCCCATCAAAGGAAGGTTCCCCTGAACCTCAGCTTCGACTTCCAGGTGAGTTATCCCTCTTGGTGCTCAGAAGCTAACCCGCTGGGACCTTCCCCAAGGGGTCTGATGAGTGGCCTCCTCCTCCTATGCTCCTCTCTCTCTGTGACTGATGGCTGTGGCAGCCCAGGACGGTTGTCTCTCTTGTCCCCAGAACAGCCACTGACCCCAGGTCATGAGAACATCTGTCCCAGTTGGACTCTGCCCTTACCTTGAGGGACCTGAAGGCTGGGAGCCCAGCTTGCCCTCTGCTTGGACCCCTCAATTGAGGCAGACTGATGCCCTCCTTGAAACTCTTTACCTAAAAGCAGGGGTCTGGTAGGATCCTGCCTATCCTTCTATCTACCCTGGCTCGAACCCGACTAACATCTCTGGATCTTTGCAGGTGGCAGCTCCCCCAGCAGGAAGGGTCATGAGCAGGGACGGTCCTCCTCAGAGCCCTCCAGTGGCCAGAGAGACTTCAGTTATGATAACATCTGGGACCAGCCAGGGCCACCTTCATCTTCTAGACACAAGTGGCATCGCCCTCCTGCATCAGAGGCTGCAGGAAGGTTGACTCAGTGGATTTGACCTGGCCTGGAGTCTTTTGCTGGTCAAAGTGGGTACCAGAAGGAAACCAGACATCCTGGCCTCCAGCCCCACCTTGGTGCTAAATGGAAGCCTCTCCGAATTTTGGGGGCCTGGACCATCTCAGTCTGCTTCTCCACACCCCCAAACAGCTGGGGAGATTGAGTCAGGGTTTTATCCATCTTTGGGAGGGCTCAGCAGGTGGGACTTCAATGTCCCAAGACCCAGCCTCTCCCCACTACTGCTTCCCATGAGCCCTAGGGAAGGAGGGAAAGGAGAGAGCCAACTTCTTGCCCACTGCTGCCTTTGCCCAAATCAGATTCTACATGATTTTGAGATGGGGCTCGGGACGATGTGTGAAGGCTGAGCTCCTTCCATCACTCAGAGCAGAACCCACCTAGGCTCTTTCCAAAACAGGCTGTGAGAGCCTGGGGCATAAAGACATATCCGGGGAATTGTGACTACAAGTCTGGGTCCCTCAGTGAGGGGTCCCTGAGTGGAGATGGTGAGGGACACATTCCATAAATGGCTGCTACTATTCATGTCCCTAATCATTCGATGACACCCCCTTCCCCCAACCCCCCTTCCTTTCCAAATCTGACCTAGCCCCCGGGGGAGGGGATCCCCAGTGTACCTAGGTCTGTGGACAACTAAGCTCTTTGTGGTGTTACAAGTGTCCTTCCCACCTCCCCTTCTCTGCACCCCCAAAATCAGTGTTCTCTGCTGCCCCCTGGTGGCTATGTTGGGGATTTGAGCTGTCCCCATTCACTGGGAGAGGAAACTTCGAAGTGATGACATGAGGTGTAAGTAGGGCAGGGGAGGGAAGGAAAGAGAGACAGACAGAGAGAGAGAGAGAGAGAGAGAGAGAGAGAGAGAGAGAGAGAGAGAGAGAGAGAGAGAGAGAGAGAGAGAGAGAGAGAGAGAGAGAGAGAGAGAGAGAGAGAGAGAGAGAAGAAGAAGAAGAAGGAGGAGGAGGAGGAGGAGGAGGAGGAGGAGGAGGAGGAGGAGGGAACAGGCCCAAGGAGGGCAGGTGACTTGGCCAGGGTCACCTAAGCAGCGGTGGGATTTGAACCCAAGTCCACACTACACCATAATATGTTGTTCCAAGGAAAGAAATGACAGGGAATATCATGGGATGGAGGTAGAGGTGGAGAAGGTATGGGTGGGTCTGGGGAGGTGGGAAGAGAATCACACATCACCCCCCCCATCTAAGACTCTTTGGAGGAGGGCAGTTGGCGATGGTCATTGGCTAGTGGTGGCCAGTGAGAAGGGAAAGTTGGAGAGTGAAGGGCCATGGGCAGCGAGGGCTGTGAAGGACAGTGAGCCGCTGAGGAGGTCAGTGGGAAGCTGTGAAGGACGGTGAGCCAGGGAGCTGGTGGGAGGTACTAATAAGGGTAATGAGGGTTGGTGAGCAGTGAGATTAGTGGGAGGCAGCCAGGTTGGTGTGAGGGGCGGTGAGGAGCTGTGGGCAGAAAAGCGTCAGTGGGTTCTCAGCTTTGCCTGGGGGCTCAGGATTAAGTAAGGACAGGTTAGACAGACCCTGGAGAACCCTCCACTGTATTCCCTTGACATGAACCAGGGCAGGAATGGGGAGAGCTTGGGAAGGGGGTGACTGATCCTTGTGCCAACGATTCTAGGGCCTCCCTTTTGGGAAGTCCCCCATTCTCCCCAGCCTCTCCTCTCCACTGGAAGCAGCTGTGCCTTGAATCAGGATTTAGCCTGTGTCACAGGGTGGCTTCTGGGTAAAGAGCCGCTATCCTGACAGCTTGGTCTGGGGGAGGGGGGATGGAGCTGATCCTGGGAAAGTCAACCCATCAACCCAGAAATAGAAAAAGAAATTTTATTGTCACCCAGCATCTGTGTGTCCATTTCTCTCCCGCCTCGCCCTCCCGCCCCACTCTCACACCAGCAGTCACTCGGGTAACTTGTCAGGGAACTCACTCCAGATGAGCTCATAGCCCCCACCGAGGGCTTTGGGCCTTTAACCTTTAACCTCCCTGCTGCCCTCTCAGCCCCTTCCCATTCCTTTCCTCCTCTCACCTCCTTTAACCCTTAACCCTCCCCCAAATGACTAGGAGCCTCCAATCCCCCTCACCAGCCCTCTGCTCCCCACCTCCAGCCAATGATCTCTCTATCTCCTGCCTACCTCTCACCATCTCTTCTCCTTCAAATCTCAGTACCTTCTTAGGGAGCCCCCAGTGTCCAAATGCACATCCAATGTCTGCTACCACTGTCCCTGACCCACCAGCTCCTTTCAGGGCATCTTCATTCCATGCACCCGCAATTTGTGTGGGCCTGGTCTGTCCCCAAGACTGGGAGCTGTGTCCCTGTGACTGCCCTTCTCCTGCCTTCTCCACTCCACCCTCTATCCCCCCTTGCCCACAATGTCACCAGGCAGGGGCAGAGGAAAGAGACCCCTCCGCTGACCATCTTCAGAGCCTGTCTATCGCCAGTTTGTTTCAGGAGGTTACCTGAAGGACTAGAATAGCCAAGCAAAGGACGTTCAAGGCTGTGCTCTGCCAGGTGGCCTAGCCCCCACCACTTCCCCTCCATACTGTCCACTTGGGCTCCTGCCCCTGGCCTCCAGGTCATCCAGGAGTCACTTAGGTGGACCTTATGTTCACTGATTACCAGAATGAGCCATTCTCCCTTCTGAAGCCTGACTTGGCACAGGTCCATTAACTGGGACCCAGACCTCTCAGTCCTGTTGAGAGAGAAAAGTAAGGATGGTCTTGGGATTGGGTTTCCTTCTCCCTCCCAAGCAGAGAAGGCTGAAGGCTGGACAACTGTCTCATGGACAGGCCTGGGGGATGTGGAAGAAAAGAGACTGGGGAATGGGGAAGGGGGAGTGCAGTGTGAACATGGCCTCGGGATCATCACGGAGAAGCCAGTCAGTCCCACTGTGGCAGGTCGCCACCCTCACTCAAACCCTGAGCCTACGTGACCATCTCAGGCTGGGGCCTGCCTGTCTGGGCCCCAGCTTGCCCCGACGTGGGCCTACGGGCATGGGCGTCCTTTTCTTGCCTGCCTCCGGAAATATCGAATGGCAGATATGGCACCGATGTTGGCCAGCAACACTGTAGGGGAAAAGCAGAGAGAGGCAGCTGGGGAGGGTAGGGGTGCTTCAGGCCCTAGGGCTTACCCTGCCTCGGGTCAGTATGGGAGCGTCTCAGGTAGATGAGCAAGGACAGGGCCAGGACGTCCTGAGCCACACTTAAAATCACTGACCGTCTGTACTGGAAGAACCCAGGCCAGACCAAAGGTGGAATAGGAATGGGGGCGGGGGGGAAGGAGACATCCCGACTCTGGGTACAGCTGTGCCAGGAGCGGGGCTGGGAGGTGACAGACCTCTGGGAGGGATGGCATTGTTCCCTGAGCACAGCTGTCACTACCAAGCATGCCCCGCCCCATTTACCCTGAACTTATGGCTATAGCCCAACCCCTCAATGTTACAGATGACAAAACTGAGGCCCAGAGAAGGGAGAGGATTTGCCCAAGGTCACAGGTGGCCGCTTGTCACCTGCCTCCTCTCTGGCTACGAGGTCTGGGGCTCCCACCTTCCCCCGCCCCGGATCTCCCCAAGAACTGTCCTAGGGCCCAGCCCCCAGACCTGTTTTCCAGGCATCTGGTGCGTGAAGGTCGGAAGTCCTCACAGCCCACGTGGCGAAGGCCACGAACCCCAGACACATGTCATTCTGGTTGAAGGTGATGGGGATGAGTGAAGCCCTCTGCTCCTCTAAGGAAGGAGAACAGACCACAGGGACCCTGAGTTGCATCTGTCCAAGGACCTCCTGTAGCCTCCCAATCGTTCTCCTCCACCCCCAGGCCCAGAGGCGGCCCGGAGTCTCCCCTCCCTAGATGCACAGCAAGGGCCTATTAAATATCATTGAATTAAACTAGAAACCAGAGGCTAGAGGCCCCAGGAACGGTGGAGACTGCGGTTGAGGCTGGGCCAGATTGACAGGTGGGGGGGAGGGGGGCTCACCGCCCTGGATGTCATTCACTTCTGAAGCCAGGGCTCCCACCCCCTGCAGTCCTGAATCCCCCCACCCCTGGCCAGACCCTACATCCCATGGTCCCTTGGGGTGGGGGAATCAATGAGACACAAATTCCCCGGGACTAAGGGATGGAAAGGGTTAAGGCTGGAGTCTGCACGAGTCACGCCATGCCTCCCCCTCAGCCTCCCTCTCCCTGGACAGGCTGTTCCCTGGACCTAGCACAGACTGTACTCACAGCTAAACCCCCACCTTTGGCCATTACCTTCAAGACTCACAGGCAGGCCTAGTTCTTCCGCTTTTAGTAGGTTCTGTTCTTCAAGGGCAGGGGCGCTAGGCCAGGCCCTCTCAGGCCCCAGAGTCTGCTCATCGGAAAGGGTCACTGGGACCCAGTTTGGAGGCAACAGGACACCAGTCGGCCCCTCCTCCCCAAAAAAGTGTTCGTAGGCCTCTGGGATAGAGATGGGGACTGGATCGACACAGGTAGGCGCCTGGAGAGGAGGTCCTGGGGAGGGCCTCTGCCTGGGAAGGCGACTGTCCCAGAAAAAATATTCACACACCTCAGGCCACTGCACATCGGATGGGATGTCCTCTTCCTCCTCTTCTTCTTCCTCGACTATGGTGTCACAGAAAAAGTAGTCATAGGCCTCAGGGAGAGTGAGGGCAAAGTCCTCCCTGGGTCCTGCAGACTCCCTGGCCAAGGCTGAGGGGGAAGGCGGGGGTTTCAGAATCCGTGGCTGAGGATGAACCCCCACAGCTACAGCATCCCAGGCTCTAGGGCTGCCTCGGCCTCCTCCCAAAGTCCTAGGAGGCTCACAGACAGCCCTGTTTGGCAAGGCTGAAGATGGGGACGCCAAGTCTGAGTTCTCTTGAGGGGAGGTGGAGACCCCTGAAAAACGGACTTTCTTCCTCCTTGGGGCTCGGGCTGGGGTGACAACCCCAGGGGACTGTGTGGCATCATCAGTGACCTGTGAAGGCTCCCCCAGGGGTCCTGGAGACAAGGGAGTCCTGCTGCCTTCCTCGGGCTCCCCATGGAGCCCCTGTGGAGATACTGGGAAATTGAAACTCTTAGTAATTTGGGGAGGTGTAGACACGTCCACATCAGCCCTGGTTTTGGGGGCAGAAGTAGAGAGATTCCTATCTGGCTCAGCCTTGAGGTCAGGTGTAGACACATCCACATCAGCCCTGGCTCTGGGGGCAGAAGTAGAGAGATTCCTGTCTGGCTCAGCCTTGAGGTCAGGTGTAGACAACTTCACATCTGACTGAACCTGGGGAGCAGGTGTAGACATATTCACATTTGTCTGGGCTCTGGGGACAAGGGTAGCTGGGCCTACGTCTGCCTTAGCCAAGAGAAAAAGTGCAGACCGATGCCTTTCCGGTTCCAACTTGGGGATAGGTGTAGAGACACCAACACCTGAGTTGGTCTTGATATCAGATGTAAACACATGCTCGCGCAGCTTGTCTTTGGAAACAGGTGTAGATAGATTACCACTTGGCCCAACCTCAGAGGCTACTCCAGGCAAGTTTGAAGCCTTCTCAGGTAAGGAGACAGGTGTAGACAGATTACCACTTGGCCCAATCTCAGAGGCTACTCCAGGCAAGTTCAAAGCCTTCTCAGGTAAGGAGACAGGTGTAGACAGATTACCACTTGGCCCAACCTCAGAGGCTACTCCAGGCAAGTTCGAGGCCTTCTCGGGTAAGGAGACAGGTGTAGACAGGTTCTCTCCTGCCCCAGGAATCCAGGTAGGTGTAGACACATTCACTGGGGTCTCAGTCTTTGAGACAGGTGAAGACAGATCCAAGAATGATTGTTCTTGAGGGGCAGGGGGAGTCGGCTTTGGGCCCAGGTCAGGGGTGGAGGATGGGTCCTGGGGGTCTGTCCCATGGCCGGCTCTGGTTCCCAAACCAGCTCCTCCGGCCGGCGACTCTGATCCTGGACCATTCCCCTCCCAGTCAGCCGGGGCCAAGTTGCTGTGTGCCCTGGTGCTGGGGCCCCTGTCTGGCCGGCTCCCTGAAGATGGTGGCAGAGCCAGCAAAGGGCTGGGGGGGCCCTGCCTCTTGGAGTCCTGAGCTTTGGGGGATCCGCTTCCCTTGGCCCCTACTGACCTCCTCTTCTTCTTTCCTGGACTTCGAGGGGAGACTCCAGGATTAGGGTCTCGGGGAGATCTCTTCCCATCGGCTGGCCCGAGGCTGCTGGGCTGCTCCTGGCCAGAGGGCCCCTGGCTTGGGGGGTCCTTCCCTGAGTGCACTCCAGCCTCAGAGGCCTGGGCAGCTGCCCCTTGCAAGGACTTCTGCATTGCGCCGCCACAGGAACTAGGCTTGGGACTCAGGGCAGGAGTGAGCTGGGCAGGGCAAAGGACACTGGAAGGCAGCTGCCCCTCCAGCTGGGTGGACGTGCTCGGAGTCTGCTGACCGGCCTCCGGGGCCAGGACACGCTCACAGCGAAACCTGCTGACCAGGCGGGCATCTGTGCCCTCCTCCTCCTCGCTGCCAGAGCAGCCCCCCTGGGCCGTGGCCAGGTGCCCGGGCAGGCACCGCCCGCCCAGGGCCTTGAGAAGGCCCTCTGGCGGGGGGCTGCCTGCTTGCAGCCGGAGAAGCCGAGGGGGAGGGGGGCCGGGGGGGCTGCTGCCGCTGCTGTCCCCTTGGTCAATGTCACTGGAAAGCGGCTCGTCCCCTGAGGCCAGAGCAGCCTGAAGGAGGCCACATTCCTCTGCAGCTTCTGAGAAGTTTGCCCAGTCCTTGTCGCTCAGCTGGATACTATATTCGAAGTTTTCCATTTCTGGGGTGACAGAGACACAGTGTGACGGCCTGTGGAGGCTGGGGGCAGGGAGCTGTGTGCCAACAGGGCAGAGATGTCGAGTTCTCTGCCCAGAACTACAACCTCACATTCCCTGACCCCAGGCCCTGTGCCTTAGTTTCCCTCTATGGTCTGGGTCTCAGATTCTGCAGAGTCTTCCTTCTCATCCTCCTCCCTCGCCTCTTTCTGAAAGAAGCCTAGAATAATGGATAAGGCAATAGGTCTGGAACAATTCTCAGCCCTGATTTATTACCTGTGTGACCAGGAGTGGGTCATTTCATTCCTTACTTTATCTGAAAGGAGCCAGTTGGCCTAGACAGCTTGAAACTGCGATCCTGGGGGACCCTGCTTCCAAGCTGGCTGGGATTGGAGATACAAAACTCCAGGAATCCCTCCCTTTTTTTCTAAAAACTTTTTGGAGGTTTTTCCCTAAAATCAGAAAAAAACTATTTTCTGCATGTTTACTATTTCTCCTTTGGGGCCAATATGCCTTTCAATTTATCAAACATAATTATTTTCTTGAGAAAACGAATATATCTAAAACATAATCTTATTGCTCATACAGGGTGATTTTATTTGTAAGAGGTATTAAAATAATGAATAATAGATATCGTTTTTCTCCCCACCCCAGGGTCTCTCTCCCCTCCTGCCCCTTTGGCCTCAAGAATTTTCAGCGTACTTAGAACCCTGACCTGCTGATATTCCAAAGCAGCCTCCAGAGAAAGACCCCACCCCACCCCACCCCTTCCTGTGGGGTCACCTCTAGGGGCAGGCTCAGGTGATCAGACATCCTGAGTCCTCTTCAACCAGAAGCAGGCCTCGGCATAGCCAGCCCAGGTGACCACAGTGGAGGGAGGGGGCTGAGGTCAGGCAGGCAAGTGTCATTCATCCTGCTGACTTCCTGGCTGCTGAACCAATCACATCCCCCAGTTCAGAAGGACCACAACACCCAGTGACCAGCCCCTCCTTTAGCACTCAGGCTCCTGCCCTGACTTTGGCAGCCTCAAGAGGTCACTGGGTCAGCCCATCAAGGTCATTTTCCTCACTGGGGCCAGGGGCCTGTGGTCAGCAGGCAGATCATGGGCTAAGGGCTGGAAAAGATCTCAGAAGCCAGCTAGGTCAAACCCACTCATTTTACAAATGAGGAAACTGAAACCCAGAGAGACTGATTTGCCCAAGGTCAGACCAGTAGTAAATAGCAGGGAGAGAATTGGAACCTGGGTCTTAGTTCTCTTAGGAGAATTTCAGCTATTCTTTTTCCTTCCCATAGGGGAAGGGGGAGTACCAGGATATCCCTGATGGGAGGTGGGGAAACTGAGGCACAGAGCAGGGGACACTCAGAGTCACACAGCACACAGGAGTAACAGTGACATGAGAATCCAAATCCTGATTCTCCAGCTCAGCTTAGCAAGGACATCCCTGGTGTCCCCAAATACACAGCTCTATGGTGTGGACCTGAGGTCCCATCCACTCCTTGCCTCCTTCTCTAATTCCCTTTTTCCCTAAATGACCCTTCATGCCTAGAGGCATCCCAGGCTTTAAGGAGTCCCCCCCACCTAGGAACTGAATCTTAGACCTTTTCCAACTCCTGGTGACAGACACCCCCCACACCCTGCAGAGAAATCCTCACAGTGACCTGAGGAACAGAGGATCAATGCCCCCCCTTCCCTTGTAACTTTTTGTCCATAAGGAAACCCCTAATGTATGGAATTAGCCCCTACCTACTCCCATCCCTCCAGGACCCTCACCCTTGAGGAGAGGATAGGGAAGAAGAATAGGGAGAGGGGAGGGATTGACAGGTCCTACCTGGGTCCCCACAGCTTGATGGGGAGCATGAAGCAGGCTCGGGGTGCTAGGCAGCTGGGTCCAGAGGGGCATGATGTTGGCTCAGTCTAGGACACTGGGCTGAGCCCCGCCCCACAAGCCTCTCTCATTGACATCCTAAAAATACTTTCCCTGCCCATTGGTCACATGCTCCCTGCCAGCCCCTGCCTCACCCACCCTGGAACTGGGCTCTACAAATAGATGGCATTTGAGATGGCCCCTCCCCTGGGGGCGGGGAAGGGGAGGGGTCTTCCCGGGTCCAGGCACAGGGTGGGGGCTGTCCTAGCCACCTGATGTAGTCACAGCTCCTTGGTAGCAGGGACCCAGAATGACACGGATTCTATTTAAGCCACAGGGTCACCCAAATGAGTGGGCAAGTCAGGCCTAGAACCTGAGTTTTGTTCTCATAGCACAGATAACTGGTAACAAATTCCTAAGATTGAGTGGCCTAAGAAATCTAGTCCAATGCCTGCACTGGAGAACTGAAGCCCAGAGAGGAAAGGGACTTACTCAAGGTCACACAGCTAGTAAAGGGCAGAACCAAACCATGATTTTTCCAGGATACCATGGTATATCTCCCCAGGCTCTGGAATATAAGTTCGAATAATGATGGGGGGGGCTGGAGAAGGGACCAGGATAATCCATCCCCAGGCACTAGAGTATAAAGTATAAAAACTGAAGCAGGCCCAGCCCTCGAAGAACTTATACTCTGATGAGGGAGACAAGTACATATATATGTGTAACAGAATAAACATAAAGAAAATAAATGAGGACCAGCCCTGGACTCAGGAGGACCTGAGTTCAAATCCAGCCTCATACACATAACTCACTAGCTGTGTGACCCTGGGCAAGTCACTTAACTCCATTGCCTAGCCAAAAAAAAAAAAAAAGGCTTAATGAAGAAGCAGGCTAAGTCAAAGGAACTAGCCCTTCAGAACCTCTTCAGAATCTATCAGAAAGATAAGCCTTGGAGATTTCTCATTTCCTATATTGGTAAACAGAGGTACCAGGCAGATGCCAGAAAGCCAGATTAAAACAGCCTCCTACCGGGCAGCACACAGAACCCCATCCCCATTGTTCAGCCTGGAGCATAACTCCCCCACTTGGGAGGAGATAGGGGGTCTCAGCTCAGACACTAGATCCCTATGGAAAGGGTCCTGGAGGAAAGGGGCAGAGGACTTTGATAGTAGAAGGTTCAGGGGCAGCTAGGTGGTACAGTGGATAGAGCTCCGGCCTTGGAGTCAGGAGGGCCTTAGTTTAAATCCGACCTCAGACACTTGACACTTACTAGCTGTGTGACCCTGGGCAAGTCATTTAACCCCAACTGCCTAAGCAAAAAAAAGAAAGAAAGAAAGAAAGAAAGAAAAAGGAGGTTCAGGTCATAGGTGGGGAATCTCATCAAGGCAGTGAAGTCAAAAAGCATTTATTAAGCGCCTACTATGTTCCAGGCACTGTGCTAAGCACTAAGGATACAAAGAAAGGCAAAAGACAGTCCCTGCTAGAGGACCAGGAGCTTACTGGAGACAATACGCAAACAATATGTACAAAGTGAAGGAAGAGAAATTGGAGATGAAGATCTCTCGAGAAGGACTGGCTCGCTGCAGAAGGTGAGACTTTTGGGGAGCCTGAGGATGACCAGAAACTCTACACCGCCAGTCTTCCCAGAATGGCACCCTCCCTCCAGTGCAGAAGTTTGGAAGTGTTTGGGAAAGGGAGGAAATGGCGTGGTTACCTCATTCATCCACAAGGGGGAGGTAGTGACCTGTCCCTAAAAGTGCCAGGCCTTCTCCATAGAGCGAGGACTGAGAAACAAGAGGAGCAGAGAGGGAATCTTTTAGGGAGGAAAACATGCTAGGGAGGGAGAGAGGGAGAGGACAATGATAGATAAAGCATTTATTAACGAAGGTGAAAGATGGGGGGGGGGGAATGAAGGAAGACCGTGAAGGGGTTGGGGGGCCTGAGAGGGAGATAGATGGTAAATGGGGATGTGCTGAGGAGAGGACAATGAGGTGGGCAGTGAAACAATCCCTGAAGGGGAACAGGGAGGTGGGTAAGGTCCTTGAGAAAAACTGGGCTGTGGGTTGAGGAGAGGGAGGTCAGCAGGGCCAGGGTGAGGTGTCTCTGGCCACTTGCTGCCTCCCTGGGGAGTCTAATGGTCACCCAGAGTCTATGACCCTTCCTGACCTTTTGTAAACAGGACCTGGGGTTTGCGGCTTGGGGTTTTCAGGGACGAATCCTGAAAATAAACAGTTGAAGTTCAAGATTTGGCCCAGCACTCACCCCCATCCCAGGTTTAGATTTGAGAGGGGGAACCCCCCCATTTGTAGCAGGGTTGGGGGACTTTCTGTTCTGTGGAGGAACAACGTGCCCCCACAGGCCCCAAAAAGCTGAGGCCCCCTCACCCTGACCACCTGTCACCTGCGGAGGCGGGGAGGTGTGTACAAGAGGACTGATTTCTTGACCCTCCCCTTTCCTCCTCCTCCTTGGTGGGCTTTTCCAAAGCCCACTCCGCCATCTGTCCTCCCCTCCTCCCCTTCCCACTCTACCTGTCTCCTTCCCTTGTCCGCTTCCCTCCCTCATTTTTCCCCCCACCAGGAATGCTCGAGGGGAAATGGGGAGAGCAGGCAGTAGAGAATGAAACACCTCCCCCCCCACCCCAACATCTCCACCCTACAGAAGCCTCCTTCCCATTCCTGGGGGCAGTGGAGCTTATGGTGAAGGTGGGATTGAGGCTAGACATTGGGCAGAACTTCCTGACCGTAGGGGAGGCTATGGCTTTGAAAACACAAGGGAGACTTGAAGAAGTGGAGGAGAAGGGCTAAAGGTCCTCCAGGCCTTGGCCCTGCCCCCAGCCCTCGAGCCAGGCCCCCGACTTAGGCTGGATGGGGTGGGGGGGAGGCAAGAGGTCACGTAGCTGACGATCCCCAGGCCCAAGGCACACGGGCAGGGTCGTGGCTTCCCCTGGCGTGCAGCGAGGCCCTCAGGCGTTTCCCCCCCCCACCCCGCTCCTCTATCCCCCTTCCCCCCCTCGCCCCCCTCCTCCTCCCTGGGAGCCCAGTCTCCGGTCTGGAAAGCTTCCCTGCCGATGAAATCAACAAATGCTGTCTGACCTCAAAACCTCCAGCTGCAGGGCAGTCCCTCCGCCCTGGGTACGTGGGCTCGGGCTGCGGGGGGAGGGGGGAGATGAGACAGCCCGGAGGAGCAAAGAGCAGCCGCCCCCGCCTCTCCCCCGGCCCCCCCTCCGTGGGAGAGAGATTTCCGGCCGGGAGGGGGGCCCAGCAGAGGCCGGAGGCCGGAGGCGGCGGCGGCCCCTCCCGCTCTGACTCACCGACCTTGCGCTCGGCGGGCGGCCCCGGGGAAAGGAAACCCGAGCCCCGAGCCGCCCGCCCAGGCCGCACGCACTGACCCCGGGCTGGGGCCAGGCACGGCGGGGGAGCCGGGGCCACGCCTGGCTTGGCCCAAGGGACCAAGGGCAGAGACCCAGCCCTGGTGGGGGCAGGGGGAGGGGGGAACGCTGAGCCTCAGTTTCCCCTTCTGCTGCTGTCCAAGCCCCGGAGGGAAGGCTGGTAGTTACTGATTGGAAGAGGGGTGCTCTGAAGCGAGGCTGAATCCCCTGGGATAAGGGAACTGGGGCTCGCGCACAGCTGCACACTCCACCCTTTCCACCTCCCTCAGAACAGCCCAAAGTTGCTGTTATCCAGCGCCCCCACCCCCACCCCATTCTCTCTCCTCCTCTCCTATCCCCTCCCCACCTCACTCAGGTGCCACTAGGACTGAGGGAGGGGCTTTCTCGGAGCTGTTCTGGCCTCTCCCGGGCCTGGCTGGGTGGTCAGGATGGAGCCTCCCTAAGCCTGACAGATGCACTCCCAGATGTGTGTAGGAAGAGGAGCTGTCGGCCTGATTTCCTTCCCAAGAAAATCCCATGGGGGAGGTGGGGGGGCTGCCGGGTAGGGGGAGGGGAGTTATTTATTACTTGCTAGGACAAGGATCTTTCCTTCCCTTTCCAGGGAGTTGCCTCTCCCACTCGGCGGGATAAATGTCTGGGCCAGGAAGGCCCTTGGAGATTACGGGTCCTCTCCTCTCATTTTTACTAGGGAGGATCCAAACAGCCAGGGGAGGAAAGGATTTGTCCAGTTCCACAAAGTCAGACTTAAACCCAGATCGCCTGACCCAGTCACGTGCTCTTTCCCTCGCATCGAGAGAACCTGGAGCTGGGAAGATCAGGGTTCCAATTCTACCTCAGCCCTGGAGCACCTAGGTGACCCTGGTCGACTCACTTAACCTCTTCTGGCCCCAATTCACTCGGCCTCCCTTCTCCCAGCCTGCTCACCCGCCTAGGGCCTGATGCAGCTGCGTCTCCAGCTCCAGCTCCCTAAGTCAGCCGCTCATTCTGCTTAGGACCCTCCCTCCTCCCCCACCCCCTCGTTGCTCTCTTAGAATCCCACGTACCACACCCTGGACTGAACGGGTTGTCCCCTAGCCGCAGGAGCTGACAGCCCCCATTTTCCCACCAGAACGAGCCTTCCCAGGCCCTGTGGAGGGTGTGGCTGGCACAGACATGTGAAGACTCGCCCTCGGGAGGAGATGGCCGGCCGAAGGCCTATTTCTGTATCGATCCTCAAGGCTAAACCTGTTCATGCCTCTCTCTGCAGATGTCCTCTCTCCCAGACCCTCGGGAGAGACGGCAAAGCCTCTTATCCCCAAGGCTGGGGGGCAGGGTACAGTGGAAAGAAACCTGCATTTTGCGTTCAATGCCTCAGGGTCACCCTTGCCAGCCACTGACTTGTGTCCTTGGCCAAGTCATTTCCCCTCTGTGTGACTCAAAGTTTCTGCTGCATACAAAATAGGGGAGAGGGTGGTTGGGGAGGGGGGTGGACCAGATGGCCTCTAAGGGCCCTTCCAGCCATAAGTCACCATTCTATAAGTCAGCCGCCTCCTCCTCCCTTCCCAGCACCTGTGATATAGAGTATGGCAATATGGAAAAGGGACTGGGTTCAGAATCTAGGCCTTGCTTCTTGCTCATTGAGATGATGTCATCTTGGGCAAGCCACTTAACCCATTTTGAATTTCAATTCTGTAAAACTGGAGGATTGGTCTAGGTCAAGGGTTCTGATCTTACATGGTGAAAAAAAAATGAGATATTTATTTCAATAGAATTGGCTGCCTTTGGCAAACATTATCCTGAAAAGGATCCATAGACTTTCAACTATCCAAGGGGCCTGTGGCAGAAAAAAGGAGAAGCCCTGGTCTGGACAGTCCCTAACTTCCTGTGATCTGGAAAGAAAGCCTTGAGGACCCTGTAGAGGGCGAAATGTGCTTCAGTCGGGGCTAGTCTTAGGGGCTTTGAGGAGCTGCCAGGAACCCTCTTCTGGATGATCAAAGGATCTGGGAGCCCTGACCTCAGAGCAGAGCCTTTCCAGGGCTTGGGAGGAAAAGGAGGGGAGAAGCAAGGTGCTTTCTATAGCATTGATGGGGGCACATTGAGGAAGACCCAATACTGCTTTTCTCTTCCTCTTCCCTAGCCGTGCCTAGGCAAGGATTCAGGCCAAGAATAGTGAGGACATTTCTGAAAATTTCCTGCACCTCCTTCTCTCTCCCCCAGACCAGACCTTCTAATCCAGCAGAACTGGGACTTGCTTCTTTGCAGCATGCTGCCAGAGGGCTGACAGGCACCTGCTGGGCCCTGAGGGGCAGCCTGGCATCCTGGGGGTAACTGCCCACTTCTCAGCTGGCCA